ACAAAAAAAAAAAAAAAAGATACGTGGTGCAACAGCATTTGACAGTGTGAAAAAATTTCACTGATATGGTCCATATGGATTAAAAAGAGGGAGATATGTGGTGCAACATCATTTGACAGTTTGAGAGAAAAAACGTAGGCACACCACTCCGTTTGGTTCTCTCACAGCAAGTTATTCACGCCGGGCATATTACTTGTTGACTGGTTGAGTAGTAGGCAATTTGGTGTATTCGATGCTTCCATATAATTCAATCTCTTCACCATGGCTCTTCTTGCACTGGAAGTACAAAACTGTATATGCCATGTCCCATAAAATCTTCCCCAAAGAAGAAATGATCAACACTATTAAGTTCCCATAAATTGCTGAATTAAATGTTCCCTTGTTACCTTGTATCCTCCTGTAACCTAGGTATACACTTAAAAAAAGCAGGTTGCAACATGTATTTAGCATAATACCATGTAACTTCTTGCCCTTAACAATTGTAGCCGCTTTTCCTAATGCTTCCATTCCATAACAATTTTCCTCAAGTGCTGAAACCACAATTGCTAAGTTCCAAACCACTGCCAAATAGAGATAGTAAACCGAAGCCAAAATCCCGAGCAAAAGAGCTGCTAAAATGGTGGCAAGATTAGCAGACATTAAGAAAGGAGCAACCAATGACAAAAATAAGAACAAGTAACCTATTGCATGGAGTTTTATATAGAATCCTGTTAAAAATACCCTTTTACATGTTTTCACTATCCTTGAACACAGATCTTTCAAGGATATTGTCTGGTTTTTATAAGACATGGCTGATACTAGTACTGTTGCAGTGGTAGAGAAAATTGAGAAAATGAAGGAAGCAATATAGAAAGCCATTTGCACAGTCAGGAGAAGGGCAAAATCTTCTCTGAGACGGTCTACTTGGCCAAGTAGCTGGGTAAGAGGCGAGGTAGTATCCGGTGTAAACGGGCTCTGATCCGGATCAACAGACCTAGGATCTGGCATGAAAGAATTCTTGATAATGACAAACACATCAAGAAATAAGGATTTGAGGGAGAAGCTGAGCAACAAGAAAGAGATCGAATATAAGACTAAAGAAAGTACAACTATTAATGCCATGAGCTTCCCATTTTTTGGCAAAAGCTTGAAAGATTCCTTTAGAATCACCAAGAAACCGAAAAATTCATAGATATCCATGACACTTATAGTGTTCTGTAGCTATATGAACAACCCCTTATATGCTTTACCCTGAGAAATGCTCTAGCTATTTTATAGAGGCGACACATAAAGAAGTTAGTTTGAAATGGTCCAAATTTTTCTGCTTGTCAAGCAAGATTAGTACTGAAAAATAATGTTTATATGTAATGGACAATTTCTTGTATGCCTTTAGTGTTGACTTTTTAATTAAAATAATATATATATAGCTATATACATAAATTAAATATGTGTATTATATGATAATGATATAGACGCATACATTTTTTATTGATCAACCGTGTTTAATAAATATATATTAAGTTGTTTAATTTAAAAATTAAATAAAGATTCAATTTCGATCAAACTTCCATGTGGTTTGACTTAGCAAAAGTAAGTCGATAACCTGGCTAATTGCAGGTTGAATATTTCAAAGATTCTATATCACGGTTGCATATTTCAATTATTCTTATCTGAATAATGAAAATTACAGGTTGCATATTTCAATGATTCTCGTGTTCAATTTATAATTATTTCACTAATCCTCCACTATTTTGTAAAGAATTGGCTAGCAAAACAAGATGTGAAGTCTTGTAGTACTCTTATAGGCTTTTAGAGGCTGTTTAAATGTTTTGAAGTATACGACTTTCCAAAAATCTTAAAATGTTACGGGTATCCAAAATGTAAATGACTTTTAATAAATTTTTTCATTTACTAACTTTTAAGCAAAAGTATAAATTCAAAACCTCATAAAAACTCGTTCATTCACCCACAAGTTTTGAAAGACTTTCACAAAAAAAGAAAAAGAAAAATTGTTTTTCAATCTATAATATTTCTATTTCCTCTTTCAGTCTACAAACACCCAGAGTCATCATGCAAAAAGTCTTATTTTTCCTTTTCTTCAACCTCTTATTTTTTTTCATTATTATTATTTTAATATTTTCATTTTCTTTCTCTCTCTTTTCTTTTCCATCATTTTCTAATCGGGTTAATTTCACAAACGGTCACTGAGATTGCATCAAAATAACAAAACGGTCACTGAAGTTTAAAAATTGCACTAACGATCACTCAAGTATCAGCCGATTTCAAGAATGGTCACTGAATGACCAAATGAGTTGAAACTTGAACCATGAGGACCTACATCGCAAATTTGACAAGAGCCATTTTTTGCCATTTTCCCGGCAATTGTGCAACCGAATTCTGGCGCCGGCCAACCTTCTAAGCCGCCGAAAATTAGCACCAGTCGAAAGCACTCATCTTCAAAACCGCTGGAAATTAGTACCATTCGAAAGCACTCCTCTTCCTCTTCAATTAACATCCAACAGCGCCCAATTTCATCAACTTATGTAATCGGAATCGACGCTCAAAGTTCACTGCCCATAAACCTGAAAATCACCAAATAAGTCGAGCTCTGGTTGGAATTGGCCATGACCCATACCTGGGAAAGCTGCTCTAGGTAAAGAGGATCAAATCCCAGGTGATCCGCGATCGGGGATTGGTCGAACGGCTCCAGAATTTTGGTTTTTAGAAGACGGTGTCGCAACATTCGCGACTGGTGAGGAACTTGCTGCACAATTAAAATTTTCTGATGTTTTTTGTGTTAAATTGGAGCCATCGACGTGGTCGTCTGGTGATGGTGTAGCTTGCCTAGGTATGGGTCATGGCCAATTTCGACTGGAGCTTGACTTATTTGACGATTTTCAAATTTATGGGTAGTGAACTTTGAGCATCGATTCCGATTACAATAGTTGATGAAATTGGGAGATGTTGGATGCTAATTGAAGAGGAAGAGGAGTGCTTTCGAATGGTACTAATTTCCACCCTGAGCTCGAGTTATTGGCCATTTTTAGATCTTCCGGCAGTGAACTTTTGAGCATCGATTCCGATTACATAACTTGATGAAATTGGGAGAGGTTGGAGGCTAATTGAAGAGGAAGAGGAGTGCTTTCGACCGGTGCTAATTTCTGGCGGCTTAGGAGGTCAGAGGGCGCTAGAATTTGGTTGTAAAATCGTCGAAAAAATGGCAAAAAATGGCTCTTGTCAAATTTGCGATGTAGGTCCTCATGGTTCAAGCTTCAACTCATTTGGTCCTTCAGTGACCATTCTTGAAATCGACTGATACTTGAGTGACCGTTAGTGCACTTTTTAAACTTCAGTGACCGTTTTATTATTTTGATGTAATTTCAGTGACCGTTTGTGAAATTAACCATTTTCTAATATAATCTAACTACATATAAAAGAGGGAGATTTCCATTTACTCTTCACAAGCTGACTCCCCTCAGCCGTTCCATTCAGGCGTTTGAAAGTCAATTAACCCCACTGCCTTCTAATCGTGCTTTGTCGTCTCCATCCTCTGCTTTACCTAGCGGAAAAAGATCTAAGGTTAAGGTTTTTTCAATTTTTTAATTTTAAAAATTTAGGAATTTCCTGGTTTTTTTGTTGTCGTGTAAGTTTTGAATGATTTTGAGTTTTGAGTTGTTGGTTGGACTTAGGCGACGGACGCATCGTTTTCATCAACGAATGATTCACCAGCGGTGGATGAATTGGTAAGTGAGGTTGTGGCTAAGGAATCAGCGAGGGATGAGGTTCGATCTGTTGATCTAGCTAGGGTGGTGGTGCGAAGAAGTCGGATGTGGAGAAATCGCCGAGGCGACGGTGGAAGGTGTGCCTCTGAATTTTCCGATAACTATATTTGTGATCGTCTCTTTGTACTTGCTTTGACTTGATATAGTCGCTGATATTTTCTTTGTTTTTAGCCAATTTTTAATTTTATTTATCATTTTTTAAAACTTTTTTGGTCGTAGATATAGGTGTTTCTCTAACTGACACGGAGAAAGCAAAATTGAATGGGTCAGCAGCGAATTGAGGAAAGAAGGGGCAACTAAAATCACATACTGAGGATGCATGGGGGAAACTTCTTTCTCGATCCTCACAAGTAGATTTACACTTTTCACTCAGTCTCATCACTTATATATTTATAAAACTGTGTTTTTTGTGGTACTAAGCTGTTACAATAACTATAGCAAACTGATATCTATCTGGATAAATATGGGAACAACGTCATTGTATTTTTCCTGCCACTTCATTTGAGTGCAATGATATAGTGGGCTAAAATCCTTGGATTTACATACATAACAATATAGACTTATAGGTCAACCTATGAAAAGTGATTGGATTTTGAGTACAACAGAGTTTAATTTTCCTGAACGATTAAATAGGATTGTATCTTATTCAATTTTATTTTCCTTTCATTTGTTGCATCTTTTCCAAGTGAATGATATTGAAACTTGAATAGAGCATTAATGAAGAAATAATGACAGTGAAAAGGTTTAGTGTTTAATATGGCTAAATCTTGTATGAAGGCCATTAATTCCATGAGAGAAAAGAATTTGGTTTCTATTAGTGCCTGCATTATTTAACCATCTATTAAAGCATTTTGAATGTTTTAACTTCAAAGGAAAAGGAAATCTGGAGATAAAAGAATAAAAATCACAGATGTAACTAGACGTATAAAAGAAAGTGGATATTGATGCATCGTGTTGCAGGTCTTGAGTTACAAGATGTTGCTGTTGTAATATTGCTACTTCACCTTGCAGGGGGTAATTGCACATCAACTTTAGGAGGCTAGGGCACTTGTGACTCTTGTTCTATTTTGTATCTCCAATTTTTACTTTTAGTTTTAAAGGTTGGGACGTGTTTGAAATAGTCCAAGAAAGCTTAAAACATTGCAGACTATCTAAAAGCCATCCCCAAAAGCTAAGGCACTAAAGAACTGAACCCAGAAATGTCAAGATTGAGAAGTGCACGACTTAAGGCTTCTGAGGCGCATGTCTCAAGAAGTCAAAGCTTGCAATCTGACACTTAATGTAATCTTTGAGACTCTTAATGAAGGTGTTGCATGAAGCCAATTCAAGGTGTAACGTCGATAAATGTAGTTACAAAAATATAAGATTTTATTTTGGCAGATCGTTGGCGTTTACTGCATCCGATGCCCGTTTTGAGATCAGTGATTAGCTTACTTTTTGGTGTTTTTATGGAGTAATTTTTTCTAGGTTCATATTTACATTATTGAGCTCACATTTTTACAATTTTTTTTTTTTAAAATTGCTGGTGGGTTCTTCAGTATATAAGCTTTTTAAAGGTTACTTATTGAAATTCAAAATCTTATTTGGAGTTCCAAATTTAGATTTATTTTTTTAAGTCTATTTATGAGTAGAGATTCAACATAGTTTCATTTGATAAATTACGATATGTTCAATTCAGTTTGTTATTGTAAATTGAGATTTATTTACTGAGATGAGCATTTTTTTCATTGCTAACCCATTAGATCTTTTTCGCAGAATTTGTGACTAAGAAAGAAAATGTCGAGTGGGGGAACACAGAATAGTTAATGGGGTTTTTTTTACAGATTTAAATCCCAATGGGTAGTAAAGGATAAAAGTTGATGATTTAAGTTGTCACAATGACACACCCCTTGCTACTGGTTGGCGTGGTGAATCTGAATTGGAAAGCCAAGAAGCCTGCTAAAAAATGGTGGATTATTCAGATCGATTCTCAATAAAATAGTATGCTTGCAGCAAAAGCACTTTTGGACAAAAGCAAATGTCACATTAGCTGAACTAAACCAACCACTATGGTATCTATCATATGACAATTGCAATAAATCTGCAAGTACAGCTGTCAATTAAACTTATTTCTGTAGATTTTGAAAGCACAGTTACGCTACACCAACTCCAAGGTAAGATCATAACCATGTCACAAATACATCATCTATATGAATAAATGCATTATTTATTATCTAATGATCATCAAACACACCCGAAAACACTAACAATGATTCCACTTCCATTCTATTAGAGCAAGAGAAGTTGTTCTATTACAAGATTCCACATGCTCAATCATAGCATCAATTATTGGAAATCCAGCTGAAACATTCCTCAAATGCCCAGCAACAGAACTCATGAAACAAAGCTATGAGGTACCTATCTCAAAATTACATTTTCATACCTGCATTTCCCCCCTAGTAAATGTACTACTAACTACTTTTGATAAACGTCCAAATAGGAACATATGGAAAATATCTCTAAAATTCAAACTACTACTACTACTACTACTACTACTACTACTACTACTACTACTACTACAGATTAGCACATCTTATACATCAAAACTGTAAATATAGAAACAACCACCACCAAGGCACCATACGAAGTCAACGTCATCCTCGACTCACACCTCCAAGATGAACACCATTTACCTACCAACGTCATACATCCAGGCACTTCACAAACAACTCTTCAACTGACAAGTTCAAACACCACACCAACAAATAGCCCCACAACTTAGACAATGTTTATATATGAAGCTCACAAACATGCTGACAAAAAACAAAAGCAATAGTAGTTGTTCAAGACTTGAAAATAGTTGTTTTGTATCTCTTTTGCATGTTTCTCTATATAGTCCACCAACCCTGATTCCTACCATCTCTATTTGCCTTACTACATTTTGCCCATAGTACATATTAACATTTTAGAGTCCATGTCGAAGCCACGTGTATGGCATGTAAAAGCTCTGTGTATGTCATGTCAGCTTTTTGCCTCATATTACTTCCACCAGTGCAAGTACTTGTAGATGGATATTTTATGTAATCCAGTGTAATCATCCTTCTAACAAGCTCGATCTCCCATTGAGATACCTCGTAAATAAGTTCTCATATTATTTCTTACACTGTATCCCCTACTACACGTGCAACGCATGTTCACTCACTAGTTCTAATAAAAAAAGATTAATTAGGAAATAAAAATTCTTTGAAAATTTTTATATCTTTGTTTTTTCATTGTTTCCTTAACTTCTTATAAGATTTAACCCATTGTAAATCTTAGCTTCTCGTTTCTCACTTACATGTTTTTTATAATATCACTTAAGTCCTTTGTCAAAAGGAGAAGGTAAGACTTAAGAGATTGATCTAAGGATCAACGGGTCCAGTTGAGACCTATTCTCAGAAATATGAAGTTTGATTTGAATGTATTTCGTTGTACGAGCATCATATCTTTCAATCCATTATAAGTCTTCTCAGACTTGAAGAGTTCGGACCGGATTGGATAATAGGACCACACGTGCTCTTTCTGTAAATCATAGATACTCTTAACTATTTGAAGATTGCTTTCACCTTGATTCCAGAAACTTATAAATTTGCACTCCATTTCTTACTGGATATGATCATGAACAATAACATTTAATGAGCAGAATACAATCCATGGAATTCTTAAGAAGAGATGACATAGCATAGCATCAAGTTGATATGCCTCTATTTTTTTCTTAAATCTTGATTATTGCCCTTCTCATGAATAGTGTTTGTAATCCGAGCGTTCAAATGAAAAAAAATTGTGCTACCATCGTACTAAGGCCATACTATGAGGGTACACTTTGACCACTTTTGCTCATATTGGGCCACATGAGGAGAATAGATTTGATCTCAATCGAGATAGACTTTCAATTAAATTAGGAATACTAATCAATATAAATGATTTCAATTTGTCACTTTAATTGTTACACAAAAAAATGAAATAATAAGGAGGATTCGACATCTTAGCAATGCATCCCATATATTTGAAAAATTACATTTACTTATTTTCATTTGTTTAATTGATAATTTAGATATTAATATAGAAAAAATCACAAAATTTGTTCGCTNATTTGTTTAATTGATAATTTAGGTATTAATATAGAAAAAATCACAAAATTTGTTCGCTAATTTTAACTCGGTCAAACACATAGTTCTCGTGGATTCGACATTCCATCAATCATTTTATTACTTGACCACAATTCCATGCACTGACGAGTTTTCAAAGGATCAATTAATATAAACCTCAAAATATCTTAATCTGTTGATAACTTGCAAAACTATGAACCAATTAACCGAAAAGATCGTATTGGCAATACACTAATTTTTGTGCGATTGAATAATAGACGGTTGAGAATGTTACAAATAATTGACTTGTTGAGCGGCCTTAATTGGTGGAAATCGTGTGTCATATTAAAGTTGCAATTTTCATTGAAGTAGCATTATCGAAAACACGTTTTTACTAATGGAGTGGATGCGTGAGATGCGGCCAAGTGTTACCTTCTATACCGTTGGGATGAGTGGACCTTTTGGTGGCTTCTTTTGACGAATCTGAAAGGCTGCTTTGTGGATGGTTGTATACATTCGTCTATGTTTACTCTCTATCACGACTATTGTTTTTTGGATTTCTGAAAATCTCTCTTTAGATTTTCTTCTTCTTCTTGAGTGACGAGTTGTCTATAAATCTAAGTTATATGTGGTTTGTTATGTTCTTCAGTGAACATCAACTCCGACAGAGATTTTGGTTTCGGTTTCTGAAAGTTGTAATTTTGGACGATCTGGTTTCTATTATAGTGCAGCGGTTCCTTCCAACAATGAAAACTCAAAAAGAAGATTAGGAATTTTAAAATCTTGTATTCTTGAGATCTTTTTTTAATTTCTTGCTTTACTATATTCATCAATTGGTGAAACTAAATTCTTATTTTGTGAAGTATGCGCATTACACAAATAATTTGAAATCGACTATAAAAATTCTTTCTTTGACATTGACTAATACATTACTAGATTTAAGACATTTTACTTATTTATAACATATTAATTTTTGTCCGGTTTAATAATAGGCCGTTTCGAATTAACTTGATACATTGCTATACTTACTCAGTGGTTGAGTAGAGGATAATTTGGTGCATTCTATGATCCTGTAGAATTCAATTTCTTCACCATAGCTCTTCTTACATCGGAAGTATAATACCGTATATGCCACGTTTGGAAAAAAATTTCCCAAAGAAAAGAATAACACCATAACCATCCATCAATGGTCCAATTCAATGACATCATACCGTAGCCAAGGAACAGAATCAAACCCAGCAGGTTGAAGCATATGTTTAGCATTAAACCATGCAATCTCTTGCCCTTGCCCTTAATAACTGAGGTAGCTTTTCCCAATGCCTCTATTCCACAACCTTCGTCGACTATAGATACCACAATAGCCAAGTTCCAGGCCACGGGCAAATATAAACAGCAAATAAAGCAGAAATAACTAGCAAGACGACGGCTAAAAGTAGACATGAATAAAGGAATAATCAATGCCACACCCAAGAACAGGTATGCCATTGCATGAAGTTTGGTATAGAATTCTGTTATTAGTGCCCTTTTCCATGTTCTAAGTGTACTTAAACATAGATCTTTCATGGATGATGTCTCGTCTTTATAAGACATAGCTGATACTAATACTGTTGCAGTAGTGGAGAAGTTCGGCACAATGAGAAAAGCAAGAAGGAAAGCCATTTGCACAGCCACAAAAGAGCAAAATCATCCCTGAGCCGTTCTACTCCAAGAAGTTCGGTTGGATTAGACCTGAAAGAAGTAGTATTCAATGTAAACGGGCTCTGATAAGCTACAAAGCTAGGATTCTTCATGTAGACCTCGACAATATCATTAAGCAAGAATTTGAAGGAGAAGGTGAAAGAAAAGAGCAAGATCGAATATAGGATTAGGGTAAGTATAATTATTGATGTCATGAGCTTTCCATTTTTCGGGAGAAGTTTCATAGATTCCTTTAGAATCGACAAGAAACTGAAAAACACATAGAATTCCATAACACCTTGAGAAGTGTTTAGAGCTATTGAAAACCTTGTATATATATAGAATAATGCCACTTTGTTAGAAAATAGTTTACATGATGATTGACATAATAGAGGCTTGTTTGGACCGGTTTAACACTACAACAAAACAGTCTACGGCAACGTTTGGACGTGTGTTGCAAATCAAGGTATTGTCGTAGAGTAGAGAGATGCGACAACGTTTTTTGAATGTTGCCGAAAGTCTTTGACAACGTTTAAAAAACGTTGCCATAGAGATTCGGCAACGTTTGGTAAATGTTGCGAAAGACAGCCTACGACAACGTTTGTCAAATATTGCTGTAGCTATCTACAGTAACGTTTGACAAACGTTGCGAAAATGTTGTTTTAATAACTACAATTTATGCAAATTGATTGGCAAAGAAGTTTCAAAATGAAATAAAATAGTAATGAAAAAAAACTCGATCATAAACGGAACACAGAATCTACTCTCTTTCTTCTTTCCAAATGCCTTCACGGCTGCAGCACGTTTTCAACAGTGCCAGCTCTCCAAAAGATCCTGCAATATATCGTTGTAGAACCCTAGGCACTTCTTTTTTCTCTTCCTATCACTACCAAGTCAGGACTGAAGCATTAGAAATTGAATGATATTAATAGTACAAGCTGATTTCAACTGAAACACTTCCAAGTTTAACTATTTTCAATATTTTCTTCCATAAGTTACACGATTCCTGATATTGACAATTAAAGAAATACAATATCATCACCTCAGTTGCTAAGACCTCAAATTCCCTATGAACAAAATAGACAAGAAATGAGGAAACACAATTTACATGACCATCATAATAAGAGTTACTTCATAACCAAAAAAATCACATCAGAGTCTTTCAAAGACCAAAACAATATGTGTAACGCCCCAAGTTCCTTAAATCCGAATTGCCACGTCATCTTCATTTGTAACTGAATTAACCAAAAAAATTTGCGAAAAATAACTAAATTTTAAACATGACATTTATAACGGTAAAATATCGTCAGCAACAAAACTCATCTGATTAACTTAAAAAATTTGATTAAACTTTAAATCTCGAATTTTTGCAAATAATTGAAATGACAAAGTACGTTAATAATATTCAAATACAAAATTTTTCGAATTTAAATAACTTCATCCATTAAATCGTTGCCACCACTGNTCATGCAAAATATATAGTGACATCATCATCATCATCATCATTGGCTCATTTTCTTGAAAATCATAGGCTCTTTAAAATCATAGGGTGTGGGGGGGCTCGTCTCATGCATTTAAACACATAAATTATGCATAACATCCTCATTTTATCTTATAAGAGATACTCGTCTCTTCTCATGCATTAAATCATGTAATTTATGACAAACATAACAACATTATATATATCATATGACATATTCTCATCTCATGCATCAAAGCATATAAAGCACGTAAATTCACATAATATATGCAATTATAATTTAAACTAATTAATGGGGGCGAGTCTACCTCAAATTATCTCGAGTCTCGTAAAAATTGGAGGGGGACATAACCTCAATCTTCTAATCGTCCGTACGTTTCATCTAACAAAAAATAGAAAATAGGTTTTTAATTAGTATTCCGAAATTCAAAGTTTTAAAGCGATAAAATAAAGTTTAGGGACCTAATTGGATATTTATTAAAACTGAATTTGACAAATCAAAGGGCTGAAACAACATTTTCAAAGTAATGGGGATAAATGCGGGAAATAGGAACTCTAGGGACTGATTTACTAATTATTGAAACTTTGGGATTGTAATAAATAATCTTCTCTCGGTCGAAATGAGAGAGAAAGGGAGTGAGAAATGATTTTTTTTTGTTATATTTTGATTTTAGAAATTACCTCCTAGCCCCCAAGTTTTAAAGTATTATTTTCAGTCCCCAGAGCTTCTGTTTTAAAGAAAGCAGCTCCTAAGGTTTCTGCTTTCTCATAGTTAGTCCCTGATTTCTACAAAAGTTTATTTCAATCATCAAAAGTCCAATTTCAGTTTCTTAAACTTCCAATTAAGTCCCTGAACTTATTTGTATCATTTTAAGTAAGGGCCTCTGCCCCCTTCCGCCAATCCGACCACCGACCGGACGGCCGGTGTCAGCACCACCGTCGCTTGGTGGCGCCTGTGTGTGGGTAGAGGTGGCTGGGTTTTGGTGCACGGATTGGAGGCTATGATGCTTGGAGGGTTCGGGTATGAGGTAAGTCTATGGGTTTTTTCTATTTTCTTGGTTTTTGTGTCTGTTGGGTGTGGTTTTGGGTTGGAAAAAGGGGGCTATCGAGTGGGTTGAAATGATGGCGGTTTCAGCTGGGATTTGCAGTCGGTTGGCTGGGGTGTTGTTGGTTGTAATCAATGATGGTGGGGGAAATTGCAAGTGAGTTTTGGCGTTGTTGGTTGCTCGGTGATGGTGGGGGAAATTGGGTTTTGGTTGGATTGGTGGTTTGACAGTGTCGTGAGTTGGTGATTGAATTCGTAGTGTCGTGAGTTTTTGGTGTTGTTGGTGCTAGAAATTGATGTTCTAGCATCAACATGAGTTTCCAAATTTGATGTTGTTGGTGCTAGAAATTGATTCTAGCATCAACATGAGTTTCCAAATTTGAGAGAGATGAAGATTCTTATCAAATGTGGTTTGATTGTGTGAATAGTGAGGAGAGGAGNTTCTTGATCGCTATAATATGCAAATCCAATAAAAATGATTATTTTACTTTCATTTAAGCAACTTTCAACAACTATTTCTCAATCAATTTCTCGACTCGTCTTATGAGGTTGATCCCAGATTACATGAAGAACAAAGTCTTATTGCCATTAAATTAGAGGTTTTCGCCACTATAATTGATGCATTACTAGATCTACTAGAAAACTCAAAGCAACTAGATCCCTTATAATCAAATAAGTCTCTGAATACCCACATCAAATTAAGGTGTATAACTGGTTCCTTGTAACACAAAGATCTAAAAGTACAATGAGATTAAGTGGAAAGAGCTAGAGAGATAAACAACAAGAGATATGCTCCATTTGCCACCATTCTTACTATATCATTCTCTATTAAATACTGAGAAATTAACCAAATCCTATCCAAAAAATAACTCAACAATTCTTCATAAATCCTGAAACCCAAGCTACTGCCTTAGCATCGACAACCCACAATCTATCACTTTCATCACCAAAACACCCCGTAAATCACAACTTCTCTCTTCAGACCCCAATTCATCGTCGGTTGCTCGTCGGGTCGAACACAATCATCGACGGTAGCCGCCCCATCCTCTCTAAAATAAACACAGAAGAACCCAACCCAAACAATAACCCCTGTCAGAAGTCAAATTAAATAATTAAACCGAAAAGCACAATTGAAGCTTATAAAGTGACCACTCTATAGAATCTACACATCCAAACTTACAGTAGTTTACGGAGGCGAAGCAGCTAATCTAGGGCTCGAAGTCGCGGGCACGGAGGCAAAGCAGGAATTGTCGAAGGATGAAGAAGGAAGAAGCCGAATTGTCGGCACCGAGCTACGACCCGAGGCTAGCTCGAGGAGACGTAGAGGTGAGAGGCGGAGGAGGAGCCTGGATGAAATTGAATTGAAATGGAGGGTGGATTTGGGGGAAGATGATTTGGGAAGGTTTATAATATATCAGTATTGGGCTTAGTTTTTTGGACTTTGCAATTTGAGCCATTTATTTGGGGAAAAAAAAAACTTTTTTTGTAACATTTGATAAACGTTGCGAAACGTCTTACTTTTTGCAATGTTTTGCAAATGTTACAAAAAGTTTTATTTTTCGCAACATTTGGCAAACGTCACTTTTCGCAACGTTTGACAAATGTTGCTAAAAGTTTTATTTTTCGCAACGTTTGCCAAACGTTGCAAAAAGTCACTTTTCGCAATGTTTTGGTAAACGTTGCTAAAAGTCCCATTGTTCGTAATGTTTTGGCAAACGTTGCTAAAAGTTTCACGCCAAACGTTGCAAAAAATAAAACATTCCACAACACTCAACAAACGTTACGAAAAGGGGTCCATTGCAACATTTTTCTAAAAAACGTTGCCAAAACTCATTTATGCTAACCAGTGGCAACATTCACTTACTAAAATATTGTCAAAAGACCCTTTTACCAACATTTATCAACAAATGTTGCCATTTTAATGTTGTGAATGACTCTTTTTGTTGTAGTGTAAAATCTGATTTTAATCTAAGTTAAAGTCAAACAATCAATATTAATCACATCTTTCATGTGTCCCACGTCTTTTCAACCACACATTTCAAAAACTTCCATCACAATCCACTAAAATTCTAATTTTAATCCCACCAAACACTCTCTAGGTGTTGACAAGATGTGATTTGATGAAAAAATTGATTGTGTTTTAAACAGTCCAAAAATAGGTTGTCATGTGCCATTATGTCGATAATTATATATATTCTAACTTGGGAAAATGATAACTGTATGTAAACAGAGATTTCTATTTTAAATGGGAACAATGTGTCAAGACTTGTTGACAAACAAGACTAGTAGTCCAAACAAAAGTTCATTTCACACCTAATAGATTAATGGTCTAGAATTAACACAAAATTTCTTAACATGAATACAAATTGATATTTATATATACACTCACTAGTTTTCTACATTTCTTACATTTAAAGGATTTTGTTATTTGTACATCAGAGTTGACACCCCTCTCACAATAAAGGAGGGTCATGACCAATAAAAAAATCATGGACCCCCCTATTATGAGGAGGGTTGAAGGGGTTGATACCTTGGTTTACACATAACAAAACCTATATTTAAAAGATACATATATTCTCCTGTGAAAAAACTCAAGTACCTCGCCTCCATGCCACCCCTACTTCATTGCGTAAATGGGACAGGGACATGGAATATGGTCTATCCCCTGAATTTTTCGAACATGCCCAGAATCCTTTTTTTTTTTGTTTCATTTTGATTTTTTGTTTTTAAATTTTAATAGTATTTAAAAATAAATACATAAGTAAAAAAGGATAAATGGAGATATTTCAACCCCACCTATTCTTGATCCGTTGCCATTTGTATTTTTCACCCTGTCAATCTCTCCTTACACCATAGTTTTATAAACTAGTTTGGCTCGGAAAATCCCCAAACTAAACCCCAAGCCCGGATGGTTGAATTCATTAGACCACTAGATCAAATTATTTAGAGCATCTCTAATTCATTCTATAGATTGCATCCACGCTGTAGACTAGTCAAAAGACTTGCACTCCATGTAGCATTGGTTTTAATTCGATAGATATTCGAGTCTAGAAATGAAGACATTTTCTGACCACAGCAATTTGACGGTCTGTGTGCATCACACTTGATCAAATATGACTTATTGCATATTTATTACACAAGCATTCCAAGATTGAACCTTTTGTTAATCACAATTTCTACTCACATTTGGTGTATTGTCCTTTTTAAAATAAAAATTTTAAGGGTTGCTAGACTAAACATTAGGAGAAAATAGGTTGAATGACGATGGCAAAGATAAATTACTACGATCCATCCATGATTTGTGGATGAGTAAGTCGGAACGAAGTGAAGACGAACACTATAGTGTTATATGAATGTCTGATTTTATGAGTGACACAAAGTCAGTAAGACCATATTTAAACATTTTTAACAATTCATTTTTCTCAAATCTAAAGTTTACGTTTTTTCAAGTTTTAACATTTTAAGAAACACTACACAATATTCGTGAATGTGCCACACTACATGTTAAAACCAGGACATGCTTTTTTTTTTTTTAAAATCCTAAATATCTCAATATAATAAACAAAAGTTTATTTCATCAAAACCGTAAATTGATCTTTGAAATTTCTAGTTGAAAATTAAATTTGGATATATAAAAGTGTAACATTTTAAATGGACGTGTCGGTGCTGATTCTTCATCAACTTAAAATTGAAACATTGACCGTAGATCCCGCCTCTGGTCAAAAAAGATGGCCCGATTTTACACGTAACGGCTATGAAATCAATTTTTTTTACTTCAAAAAGCAGGCTTAGACAGGCATATAATAAGATTGTACGACAAATTTCGTGTACTAAAATATGTTAATTATTACAAATTGTATTTTTGAGAAATATAGTGGAGGTCGATCTTCTCATGACTGCAGAAATACACATTCCTCTAGTTTGAATACGAGGGTCCATGTGGTTTGGATCTTGAACTTCAAGATTTGTTGGAAATTTGACTCGCGGAGAACTTGGCTTGTTTGACACTTGAATCTCGAGACTTGGATTTGAACTTGGATTTGCTTTGATTTGTAGAAGGATTAGAAATTCTGGACTTGTCTTAAACTTGCTTGAATTTGAAGAAGATTTTGATCATTCTTGTGTATTATGGGTTGTGAATCCTGATAGGAATTATTAGTTGGGAGGTTTTGTTTGACTATATAAATCTCCAAATATCTTAATCTGTTGATAAGATCGCATTAACAATATATTAATTTTTGTGCGGTTGAATAATAGACGGTTGAGAATGTTACAATTGGTTGACTTGTTGAGCGGCCTTGGTTGGTGGAAATCGTGTTTCATATTAAAGTTGCAAAATTCATCGAAGTAGCATTATTGAAAACACGTTTTTACTAATGGGGCCAGTACCGTTGGGATGAGTGGAGCTTTTGGTGGTTTCTTTTGACGAATCTGTAAGGCTGCATCGTGGATGGTTGTATACATTCATCTAACATTAATCTCCATTGCGACTATTGTTTTCTGGAGTTCTGAAAATCTCTCTTTAGATTTTCTTCTTCTTCTTGAGTGATGAGTTGTCTATTAATCTAAGTTAGATGTGGTTTGTTATGTTCTTGAGTGAACATCAACTTCAATAAAGAAATCTATAATCTTAAGTGATTTTGAATTTGGTTTCGGTTTCTGAAAGTTGTAATCTAGGACGATCTGGTTTCTATTATAGTGCAGCGGTTTCTTCCAATGATGAAAACTCAAAAGAAGATTAGGAATTTTAAAATCTTGTATTCTCGAGTTCTTTTTTTAATTTCTTGCTTTACTATATTCATTGATTGGTAAAACTAAATTCCTATTTTGTGACGTATACGCATTACACAGATAATTCGAAATCGACTATAAAAATTCTTTTTTTTTGACACTCGACTAATACATTGCTAGATTTAAGACATTTTACTTAATAACATATTAATTTTTTGTCCGGTTTAATAATAGGCAGTTTCGAATTGACTACAAGAGTTTTTCCATCACTTGACTTGATACATTGCTAGACTTGCTCTCTGGTTGAGTCGTGGACAGTTTGGTGTATTCTATGATCCTGTATAATTCAATTTCTTCACCACAGCTCCTCTTACACCAGAAGTATAATACCGTATATGCCACGTTTGGGAAAAAATTTCCCAAAGTAAAGAATAACACCATAACCAATCCATTAATGGTCCAATTCACTGGCATCATACCGCAGCCAAGCAACAGAATCAAACCCAGCAGGCTGAAGCATATGTTCAGCATAAAACCATGCAATCTCTTGCCCTTAATAAGTGAGGCAGCTTTTCCCAATGCCTCTATTCCACAACCTTCGTCGACTATAGATACCACAATAGCCAAGTTCCAGGCCACGGGCAAATATAAACAGCAAACACAAGCAGAAATAACTAGCAAGACGACGGCTGAAAATGTGGTGAGATTAGCAGACATGAATAAAGGAACAGTCAATACCACACCCAAGAACAGGTAAGCCATTGCATGAAGTTTGGTATAGAATTCTGTTATCAGTGCCCTTTTCCATGTTCTCAGTATCCGTAAACATAGATCTTTCATGGATGATGTCTCATCGTTGTAAGACATGGCTGATACTAATACTGTTGCAGTAGTGGAGAAGTTCGACACAATGAGAACTGCAAGGAGGAAAGCCATTTGCACAGCCACAAGAAGAGAAAAATCATCTCTGAGCCGTTCTACTCCAACAAGTTCGGTTGGATTAGGCCTGAAAGAAGTAGTATTTGGTGTAAACGGGCTCTGATCAGCTACAAAGCTAGGATTCTTCTTGTAAACCTCGACAATATCATTAAGCAAGAAATTGAAGGAGAAGGTGAAGGAAAAGAACAAGATCGAATATAGGATTAGGGTAAGTATAATTGTTGATGTCATGAGCTTTCCATTTTTGGGGAGAAGTTTCATAGATTCCTTTAGAATCAACAAGAAACTGAAAAACTCATAGAACTCCATGACACTTTGAGAAGTGTTTAGAGCTATTGAAAACCTTGTATATATATACTCTAACCTGGGAATATTCCAACTGTATGTAAACAGAGATTTCCGTTTTAAATGGGAACAATGTGTCAGACTTGTTGACAAACAAGACTAGTAGTCCAAACAAAAGTTTATTTCACACCTATAATAGATTAATGGTCTATAATTAACAACAATTTGATAATATGAATACAAACTGATATTGATATATACACTCACTAATTTTCTAATTTTTTTATATTTAAAAAGTTTTGATATTTGTACACCGGGATCGACACCCCATCTCACAATAGAGGAGGGTCATGACCATTAAAAAAATCGTGGACCCTCCTATTGTGAGGAGGGCTGTAAGGTTGATATTTTGGTGTACACGTAGCAAAATCCACATTTAAAAGGAACATATATTCTCTTGTTAAAAAACTTAAGTACCTCGCCTCCATCCCACCCCACTTCATTACGTAATTGGGACAGGGACATGGATTTTGGTCTCTCTCTCGAATTTTTCGAATCTGCCCAGAATCGTCTTTATTTTTTTGGGTTTCATTTGGGTTTTATGTTTTTAAATTTTAATAGTATTTAAAAATAAATAAATAATTAAAAAAGGATAAATGGAGATATTTCATTCCCGCCTATGCTCGATCCGTTGTCATTTATATTTTTCACCCTGACAATCTCTCCTTACACCATAGTTTTATAAACTAGGAAAACCCCCAAACTAAACACCAAGACCGGATGGTTGAATTCATTAGACCACTAGTTCAAACTATTTAGAGCATCTCCAGTTCATTCTATAGATTACATCTACGTTGTAGACTAGTTGATAGACTTGCACTCTATGTAGCATTGATTTTAATTCAATAGATATTCGAGTCTAGAAATGATTTCTAATTGGATCTATCTAAAATCCTGTACTACAACATGTGTGTCTTTTATCTATTCTAAAATAAAAATTAATAAAATTTAGAGGAAGACTATGCCATGTGCATGTAGACACACCTCGTTTTTCTCTTTTTTCCTGTCTACTATTTTTCTCTCCTCAATTATTTCATGTCCATCGCTTTCAGAAGGTCTCCCGTTTATCACACTTTGATGAAGACATTTTCCATTGACCCAGCAATCTGACGGTCTGCGTGCATCACACTTGATCAAATATGACTTATTGCATATTTATTACACAAGCATTCCGAGATTGAACCTTTTGTTAATCACAATTTCTACTCTTACACGTTTGTTGTATTCCCTTGTTAAGATAAAAATTTTTAAGGGTTGAATGCTAGACTAAACATTAGGAGAAAAATAGACTGAAAATCTCTCTTTAGATTTTCTCCTTCTTCTTGAGTGATGAGTTGTCTATTAATCTAAGTTAGACGTGGTTTGTTATGTTCTTGAGTGAACATCAACTATAATAAAGAAATCTATAATCTTAAGTGATTTTTAATTTGGTTTCGGCTTCTGAAAGTTGTAATCTAGGACGATCTGGTTTCTATTATAGTGCAGCGATTTCTTCCAATGATAAAAACTCAAAAGAAGATTAGGAATTTTAAATTCTTGTATTCTTGAGTTCTTTTTTTAATTTCTTGCTTTACTATATTCATTGATTGGTAAAACTAAATTGCTATTACACAGATAATTTGAAAACGACTATAAAAATTCTTTCTTTGACACTCGACTAATACATTGCTAGATTTAAGACATTTTACTTATTGATAACATATTAATTTTTTGTCCGGTTTAATAATAGGCCGTTTCGAATTGACTACAAGAGTTTTTCCATTGCTTGACTTGATATATTGCTAGATTTACTCACTGGTTGAGTGGAGGACAGTTTGGTGTATTCTATGATCTCGTATAATTCTATTTCTTCACCATAGCTCTTCTTACACCGGAAGTATAATACCGTATATGCCACGTTTGAGAAAAAATTTCCCAAAGAAAAGAATAACACCATAACCAATCAAAAGATTTATAATTCGTGAAATTGACAGAATAATGTTAGTTCGTGAAGATTAAAATCCAATCAAATTTTTCATCAAAAACGTATAAAACACAAACTTGAAATCCAATCAAATTATTCTGTCAATTTTCTGAAAAAACCAAAGAAAGCAAACGAGCAAGACAGAGGTAAAATGTGCTATGATACCAAATGTAAAAATATCTTGAACGATCTAATCATGCTTAACAATCCTATATAGCAATTAGATCAACGCGGAATTGAAGAATTGGACCAAAAACGTACCTCCCGCCATTGCTGTTGTCTCGTACACGCTCGAGGGTATTGGAGATGATTTATTGAGGGTCTTCTAAACCTTATCTCCTTCAAAATCGATGGTGTGTTTACTGAATAGAGAAAGGGACCCAAAACTTAGTTTTTCACCACCTTCATACATGCTCCACCCATCTTGGAGCCGTTCCAAACGTGTGCAGTTAATGGGAGCGGTTTTGAACGTTATGGAATGGCAAAAACCGTTCCTAAGTGATGGAATGAATGTGGACCATTTTTCGGGTTTGTTCTCAAAAACGGTTACGGGAGAAGAAAAACCAACATTCTCCCACTTAGTCCATATATTCCATCATTTACTATAACAAGAAACACAATACATGAATCATGACGATAGGACCTCTAAAAACTAGTATTATCTTCCATGTATTACAATGTACTATGTCTCTCAATCCCATATAACTTAATGAATAAACTCTATGTTTATTCGAGGTCCAAACTGAATGATATTTCTCAATAATAAATAAATGAATGAATATACAAATATGTGCACAAAATCCAAATGAGAAAACATCAATTGAACAAGAGTTCTGTTGAAACAATAAATGTACGTACATCGAAAATCACATTATGGAACCAAGTCCCATACGAATTACATAATCCTTAAAATTCTTCGGTAGCATGCCTTTAGTTAAAGGATCGGCAATCATCAATTCAGCGCTAATGTGCTCAATGACCACTTTCTTCTCTTTAACACGTTCTCTTATGGCTAAATATTTAATGTCGATGTGTTTACTTCGACTACCACTCTTATTGTTCTTAGCCATAAATACCGCAGCTGAATTGTTACAGTACAACCTTAATGGCCTAGAAATAGAATCCACAACTCTAAGGCCAGAAATGAAACTCTTCAACCATACACCATGCGAGGTAGCCTCAAAACAAGATACAAACTCAGCCTCCATAGTGGAGGTAGCAGTCAAAGTCTGCTTCACGCTTCTCCAAGACACAGCTCCACTAGCAAGCATGAAAATATAACCAGATGTTGATTTTCGTGAATCAACACAACCAGCAAAGTCTGAATCGGAGTAACCGATCACTTCCAGATTATCGGTCCGTCTGAACATAAGCATGTAATCTTTTGTACCTTGAAGATATCTCATCACCTTTTTTGCAGCTCTCCAGTGGTCAATACCTGGATTACTCTGATATCTTCCCAACATTCCAACAACAAATGCAATGTCAGGTCTGGTACAGACCCGAGCATATATAATGCTTCCAATAGCTAAAGCATACGGAGTGTTCTTCATTTGTTCTCGTTCAAAATCATTTTTCGGGCAGTGACTCAAATCGAATCTTTCACCTTCACAATGGGTGCTACACTCGGTGAACAATTCTTCATGTGAAATCTCTCAAAAACTTTGTTGATATATGTCTCTTGAGACAAACCCAAAATGCCTCTAGATCTTTCCCTATGGATCTTGATGCCAATGACATAAGACACCTCACACATATCCTTCATATCAAAGTTCTTTGAGAGAAAATGCTTCACCTCATATAGTAGACCCTTATCATTGGTTGCAAGCAAAATATCATCCACATATAGCACAAGAAAACAAATCTTACTCCCACTGACCTTCTGGTATATACAATGATCTATGACATTCTCTTCAAAACCAAATGAAGTGATAACTTCATGGAACTTCAAATACCACTGACGGGAGGCTTGTTTTAATCCATATATGGATTTATTAAGCTTGTAGACTAAGTGCTCACCTTTGCTAGAGGAGAATCCTTCAGGTTGTTTCATGTAAACCTCTTCCTCCAGATCACCATTGAGGAATGCCATTTTCACATCCATTTGATGTAACTCAAAATCAAAATGAGCTACCAATGCCATAATCACATGGAGAGAATCTTTCTTAGATACAGGAGAAAATGTCTCCGTGTAGTCGATTCCTTCCCTCTGAGTGAATCCTTTAGCAACGAGTCTTGCTTTATGTCTTTCAATGTTGCTTTGTGAGTCTTTTCTTGAAATGGAGGTATACGCAAAGTAGACAAGATATTACTGTTTGTCAACCTTGAAATGGAGTAATATGTAGTAGACTGTTCTGCAACCTCTGATTGTTCCTCTGAACCAATTTCCAACTCCACTTGAGTTGAATGATTCTGCTCCTTAGTTTTATTGGAATCCCCAAAAGGTTAACCAAGAACCATAGCAAGTCCATCAAATACTATATTCCTACTAACAACCACCTTTCTCGTCTCACGATATCACAATTTATACCCATTCACACCTGGTTTATATCCAAGAAAGATGTACTTTTCTTGACACAGGCTCCAACTCCTTATTATCCACATAAGCATAAGAAGGACACCCAAAAATTTTCAAATTAGAATAGTAAGAAGGTTTACCAAACCAAACCTCTTCTTGTATCTTTTTATCAATGTCAACTGAGGGTGAGCGATTAATCAGAAAACAAGCTTTAGTAGCAGTTTCAGCTCTAAAAGTCTTAGCAAACCCAGAATTTGAAAGAATGCAACGAACATTTTCCAACAAAATTCTATTCATCCGTTTTGCCACACCATTCTGTTTAGTAGTTTCAGGCACTGTTAAGTGTCTCAAGATGCCTTCAGCCCTGCAGAAGTTATTGAATTCATCTGAACAAAACTTCAAACCATTATGTGTGAGTAGACGTTTTACCTACTTTCGAGTCTGCTTTTCTACCAATGTTTTCCACTCCTTGAAGGTCCCAAA